ATTATAAAGTACAAGTTATGTTTTATAAAGAGGTATATCATGTTTTTAACACAGGAAACTCTCATATGGTAACTAAAACAATGCTAGTTCAGAGTATTACTAGTACACAGCACTGTAATGCATATACTTATTTTAATACACTACTGAGATAGGCTTCTATTTTTCAATCTTGATTTCAGAGGTCAACAAAATTTTTCAATTTTTTTTCAATCATATAGTGGTGTAGACTAGTTTTTTAAGAACATTTTGCTGGAATTTTTTTTTGGATACGACGCCCCGTTATAGAGTTATGATTTTTTAAATAACATGATGTCAAAAAATCCGCCCAAAAGCTTATCTTATTTCTGTTGGTTACGCACCGCTGATTCGCAATGTTTGTCATCACTTCAAGATGTCTACCGATTCGTGAACAAGGGGGTTCTACAGTATTCAATATGTAAAGCAAACGCTAATGCTTACCAATTACTGACTGAGCAACGTCACCAAACTCATACGCAAGATCACCAGTTCCGCACCCGACGTCCAGGATTTTGTTGTCTGCCTTAATTTCCAAATCTGGCATATAGAGTCTGTATGCAGCAACTTGTACTCCTCTAGTTTTAGAATAAAGAGCAGCTTCTTTCGAGTTCATTATGACCGATAATCAATATAGGATCTGTGATCAAGCAATTAATCAATCAATTAATCAATCAATCAATCAATCAATCAATCAACAATGGGCATATTCGACTTCTGCCTTGATTTGTCAAGTCTTGCAAACACAGATTGTATTGCTGGAACACTATTATGGAACGCCAAAAAGACAAATTATAAGTGGCGCAGTGCAAAAGTCAAGTGGCACAGTGCAAAACTAAAGTGGCACAGTGCAAAACGAAAGTGGCGCAGTGCAAATCCAAATGCGTGTGCTGCTACTTGAATTTTGCACTGCGCCACTTTAGTTTTGCACTGTGCCACTTTAGTTTTGCACTGTGCCACTTGACTTTTGCAATGCGATTGTAGTTGTCCTTTTGGCGTGATATCGCGAAAAGGACAAACAACAATCGCAGTGCAAAACGAAAGTGGCGCAGTGCAAAACTAAAGTGGCGCAGTGCAAATCCAAATGCGTGTACTGCTACTTGAATTTTGCACTGTGCCACTTGACTTCTGCACTGCGCCACTTGACTTCTGCGCTGCGCCACTTTACTTTTGCACTGCGCCACTTTACTTTAGGCGATATTGTATGGAACGCCAATTTTGGCATCAAAATTAAACTAAATAAAATAAATGAATAAAAATATCAAGAAAACATAATTCTGTGCCTACCTCCACCCTATGCCTACAAAATGCACGAAGGCTGGTGATTCCATTCTTTTTTTAAATATCCTCAGCTTTATTTGGACTGCATTGCAGTGTGTAGGCTCACTTATATTAAAACAACACAAGAAAGGGAAAAGTGTAACAAACAACCCTGATTAATAGGATAAGCCATGTAAAGAAAACAAGTAGAGGCCCAAAAATAGAAAAATAAATCGAATGTAACATTATTTTAATAGAAAAGAAGCCCAATAAATCCAAAGAAGTTGAAAATATAAACAGGCTTGATTTAGGCTCACGGTGCAGTGACACTTTGCTGCAACGATATACTTTGTGGGTGCGTTTTTTAATTATACGAATAACACTTTATTATTTGAGCTATATTTATTCAAACTTCAATGTTCTTCACAACAAACATACATAGCAGCAACAAGGCGGTTGCGTATGGGTTTAAAGGTAGGCCTATCAAAACAGCAGAAAAATGGCAATAAATAAATAAATAAAAATAAGAATACGAGACGTACGGTATTCCGTCATCAAAAATATCAAGTTTATTCTATAGACATAGACATTTAATGACCAAGGTGGATGGACACAAGACTATACGTACGGTATTGTACCAACACTCATAATATCACATCCTCATTAAATTCATTAGTATTAAATATTAAACCTGTGTATTTCAGTATCCAACTGTTGATGTAGATGATTGAGGAATAGGATCCTAATTAATTACATGTGTAAATGGTGATTTAAAAAGGAGATAAAACATACTACTAAAGTGGGATTTAATTTCCAGAAGAACATTCCATAAAAGAAAGAATAATTCATTCTCTTGGGCTACACTATACTTTTGTGAATGTGTATGTAATTGTTGTTTTAGTTTATCTTTGCCTAAATATAGTTTGAGGGGTGGCACAAGAATTTGCCCGACGGGAGCCGAGGTTCCCTATTGGGGGATATGAATAATAATAATAATAATATAGGCCTACCTAGTAAAAATTAGTTAATTTCCATTTTAAAGGGGAAGTGCGGGGATGAGACAAGTGGCCATATATTGCTTATTTAACCTTTCCTGAGTTCGGGAAAAATACTTAAAAAATTCAAAACGTTGAGATGTAACGATAATTAGAGAAACAAAACATGATATGATGACACAGGAAAATCAGGTGAAAACAAGGCTGATCACTTTTTTCAGTAGCTTGGTAGCATTTTCTAACCAACTCATTAATATTCAAGACCAGTCTGTCAATTTTGGCGAGCAGCTGATCGAAAAATCGTCCCGACGATCGAGCAACTAGCCTAGACAATACATAATAGTAGTGTGAAGTCGTGAGTTTTGTGATCGTTTACGTACGCAGTTACAGAGAGACGGGTTTAGTCAACGTCAATTCAATCATGGAGGAATAATTCAATTGAATTAATAAACGTATATCAGTCCGATGACTTGTTTGTTTATAATTAGGCCTATGCCTAGGATTAGCACAGTCAGTGTCTACCCAGCATCAGTAGCGCACTCCTGACCAGGACACTGCTCCAGTCCCGCATCAGGTGAGTTCGCACGCAGCCTTATCCAGCTGACGGTAAAGTTAGTAGGTTTCTACTACTAGCCTAGAATTGTCATGCCATGGCGACTTTGTCACATTAATTAATTTTTTTTTCATAATAGGCCAGGCCCCTAGTAGGCCTACTAATAATACTATAAGGCCTAGTTATAGGCCTGGTCCTATGAAAAACTGTCTAGGCCTAGGCCATGTCTAAAAACTGCACTGTCTTAAAATAAAGGTGATGTGCTATAACACTACAGTATATCATCAGAGCCAACACCAATTCCTGTAACAATAAGATTATTATTGATATACTGTAGGCCTAGAAGCTAGGCTACACAACAATAACGCCCCATTAAATAATAACATGGTGCAAATGTTACTTCAAATCTAACTTTCAGCTGTTGTTGAAATGTGGAATTTAAATAAAATATATAACAGTATATATATTTTTTTGTAGGACAAGATATGTGATATGCCGAAACATAACACTCTGGCCACATAGGTATTTGCCAGTCGCCATGATGAGACAAACATACCACAGCATTTGCCATGAGTACAACCACCCAACATTGGCATCTACGAAAGAAGGTGGTACAAAGCATACAAGCACCCAAGACGTTAGCAAGAAACACTCTGGTTGTTTGCTGAAACTTGTAATGAAAGCTACACACAATACAATAAATAC